AGTAAACAAGTATTTGAAATGTAATGTGTTTAAATTCTTATATTTGTACAGTATGTGTAAATGTAAACTATACAGATACCTATACTATAAAGTATTTTGTAAGTTTCTCATGACTGATGATTAAAACCTATCCACTGTTTACAGAAGACCCTTGGTTAGGAATAATCCTATTCTTCAGTAGTGAAAGCCTTTACACTTGTGTAAAGCTAAGACTATGTATTGTAATTAAATATCATGTCTTTTTGCTGCACTGCAGACAAAGATATAATAGGGAAGCATTTATGGTCCATCTACAAAAAATATACCAGTATTACTGCAGCCTGTTCGCATGTAACACTGAAGAAATACTACCTGCTAATGAGGTTGCCGGCTACATTTAGACTCTGAAGATTGTCACAAAGGCAAATGGGTTCTGTAATTAGAAAAACATTTCATGCAGTTAGTGTCACTTAATTCTTCACAATGTAAATAGTTCTCAAAACTACACCAGAGACGAATACTACGTACATAGCACAGAGTACAGCTTCTGAATAGCTGAATCCAAATCCAAAATCCAACTTTTTTTAGCCTAATATGTATTCCCAGAAAATTGGCTTATTCCACTGAAAATAAACCTGATAAGTAAACATTTCAGCATAAGGCTCAAAAATAGAACCCAAGAAACCAGAAGATATCTAACATATTTGAGTACTTATCCATCATAAAAGATTTAAAACAATTTCCTTACCGAAGTTTGTGATCCTGTTTGCAGACAAATTAAGCACTATGAGAAGTTTCAGAGAAGCCAGAGGCTTTAAGGATGTGATATAATTTCCTGACAGGTCCAGTCTTTCCAAGTTTATGCATTCTCCTATACAACCCAGATCATATATGCCTGGAAAACATAAAATAGAGGACAATGTATTTTTAACTAAACATTTAAATTAAATTCAGCGTATTGTCCTTCTCTGCATTAGTGTATGTCTGAAAACATTTTATCAAATCTTCTTTAATATACATTTTTATCTTATGTCACAAAAGTGATGAAAAACTTCTTTTATGGAGGACAAAGTGTACTGGACACACAGGATGGGTTGAAAGCTCTTTTTTCATGCAAACATTCATAGAGACAGCAAGCAAAGGTGAAAAAATCAACCTACCCCAAAAATTAGAAGTAAAAGCTTATCACAGCAGCAAAACAAAAAACATGCTTGTTGTATTAAGAAATTTCTTACCAAGACATCTGAGCTTCAAGTACAAGACTGATTCCAAATCAAACTCTCCTGTTTTAGATTTCAGCAATGCAGCTGTGATTTTTGCAAATTCAGTCTCTGCAAGACAAGAGAATGAGGGCATGTGCAACTGTGTGAAGTGAAATGACACAAAGAGAGGTCCACCTATCTATTCTAATATCTGTAACCTAGCTGCACACTACACTTTGTCATGACTCATTGCTGCAGCAGAATCTCTAACACTGATTCTCCCTGATTCTTTGTCTATTCTGCTTGGTGGTAGAGTAGAGTAGAGTGGAGCTGCTCTATCATTCTATTATTAGAAGGCTTCTCAGAGATAACAAAATGCTATGAAAAAGAACAGAACGAGAAGGCTGTGTGAGGTTCTTCAAATCAGCATCTAACACAGACAGGGATTTAAGCCAAGGACTGACTACAGCAGCTTCTGACTGTGTGTGAGGTCATCATTAGTGGCTGTTGCTAAGGTATTCTGCCTTAAAGTTGAATTATATACTACCTATACACTGCAGATGAATATGAAAAGTTTCTCCTACTCTGTTCTGACTGTTCGAGATTGGAAAACTCTTTTTCCATATGCCACAATGGCATGAAAGATACACTGCAGAATTGCACTTAATGCTTCCTGCAGGTGATTAACAGCAGCGGTCTGAATTATACATGATTTTTTTTCTGATGTTAAAAGTAATTATCATTTCATAAATATTAAACAACAAATCTGAGAGTTCGTATTTCTGTAAAGTCAAACTATTACTGCAAGTAGCAGTAAAACTAGGAACTGTAAGCCTGTAAGTTTTTCAATGGGACTCGGTACTAGGAAGGAGTACACTTCAGTGAGATTTATTTTTTAAAATAAACAATTTGGTTAAATTGAAAACTGAGTTACAATTATATTTGAATCTGAGATATTTACCTGTGTGTTTTCTTGAATACTTGTGCATGTCCATTGAAAACCATGCAAATAAATGTTAAAAGTTATAGGCTGTGATTCATGTTATCAGGATTTCCTAGACCAGCACTTTTATCTAAAGCATCTTATATTGTGCAGTATAAGCACCAATTATTTAGATGGGCATTTTACTGGAACACTTTGGATTATGTATGTTCCTCAATAGTACAACAATGTCACACATGGGATTTGAACTTGCTATCTTCCAGAAGTCTAACCACTACTGCCCAATGTCCATTGCTATAAAGCAATAAGCAAACGCGTTTATAGAATACGGCTAAGAATAAGTTGGCCAAAACGAAACAAAAAATACTATGAAAGTCAAATAATTTACGAACTACTAGGCTACACGGTGCTACCTGTATCTGTCTGTTTCATTAGTTTATTTAAATTAAGGCCTGCATATCAAATGCTACACTGGAGCTATCCAGGAAAACAATTGATTTCTCCCAAGCACACAATTGATCTTAGCGAACATTTACTTTGTTGTCCTTGAGAAGGGATTACTGCACGTCAGTCAGTGTAACGTAGAAAAACGGGGAGCGCCGAAATTCAAGGGCTTATTTCTCAATGATTATATGTGCGTTATCGCTCGATATACATGACGCTTCTGCACCAATGTGTCCTCAGGAACAGCCGCTTGGAGTCCATATTCCTTGTGTCCCTGTGTAGCTGAGAAGCTCAGTGCAGGAGACCCAGACATATTGGCAGCTG